AACATCTTTAGTCTCACTGTCAGACAGGTTTTCCAGACATTGTGATTCTTATTGCTCTTTCCTGACCTTCCAATTTGTCAATATTTTTAAGTTGTGACACCATAACTTGACACAATATCCCAGTAAAAACCTCAGTAGTGCTGTATACAGAAGTAGTAACATCTCGTCACTGACTCTTTATTGACCTGCATATACATCTTAACATCAGTGGCTAAAAGCAAATGTGCATGGTGCGGGGAGCTCATATCCCCTTGGTTTCCACCATGACCGTAAATCCCTTTGAGTCACTGCTATCCAGGATGCAATTCCCACACTGTGTGGCCTACATTCTTTGTTCCTAGAAGTAAGATCTTGCACATGGCTCTGTGTCATAGGTATGGTGGTGGGATAGCTCCAAGCCCACAGGAACGAACATCAGCAGGTGCTGCCTGGCTGGAGCCCAAACAATGGAATAGCCATTCTCTTTTTGATGACTGTGCTGGTGGCACATGCTGCAGAGATGAGCTTGCTCCTGAAGTGCTTGGCTACCCTAAGCCAGCCTCAGCAGCTGCTGGGGGAATGGGTGACCAGAAGGCAGAGAGACTAGGAACCTTTTAGTTTGTACACTTAGGGTTAGAAGCTCCAGGAATTGCTGACACTGGTGGAAGCTGCCTGATCAAAGTCTTGAATACAGCTAGGTTGGGGAGCAAGAATAAGGTGGGCTATTTCCATACTCTGATTGGGAAGGGACAGGTAGAGAGTGGCTCCTACCTTTGGGATGGTTTCCACACTAGATGAGCCCTTCAATTATTGCATCCCTTCAAGACTGTCTCGGAGCCAGCAGCACCATTTGCCCTTACACGCAGCCTGCGGGAGCAGTGAGGGGGGGCTCCTCACACAGCATCCTGGGAGTCTCCGGGCAGGGCCCAGGCACTGCCTCTTCCACCTCAGGCTGGCGCAGGGACATTCAGATCAGAGTGCCTGGCCCCCGCAGCCAGCTGAAATCAGAACACGTGCTGGGTCTCACCAGCAAAACAGACACCAGAAACTGCACCAGACACAGAGCAAAGGATTACAGATCTTTATTTGTCAAACTTTCCCCCTAGTCTAGCACATTCTACACAGTCTCACTAGCACAGATGGTAACAGAGCCTGTAATAGTTCAGAAATCACACTGCTAAGGAGAGCAAACAAAAAGCAGAGATTTTAAAAGTAAAAAATTTCATGAGAAATGAGTGAACGAGAGTGCAACTGGGACAGGTGTGGGAACCTATGCCAGCCGGTGCTGCTACGCTGTGGGGACAGGGGGCCTGTGCCAGCAACAGAGAAACTCTGCTTTGAGCAATAGGCTGACACTCTTAGCATGTTGGTGCAGGCATCCCACCATGAGAGCAAGAGGCTGGGCCATAGTCTGGAGGGAGTGGAGAATGACTCTACAATACTGTCCTGGAAAGAGCAGATCATGGGACCATTTCCTATCTCTGCAGCCTAATGAAAGCCTCCTTCCAGGAGAACTGATGCATCCTCCAAGCATCCAAATCCCCCTCTAGGCACTGTTGGCACTTCACCATACATCCCCTCCAAGCTACACGCCATGAAACATGCTGTCAACAGCCTTCACAAGACCACCATGAACACAGCTCTGCAAGGAGCTGCTTCACCCACTTGGCATCATACACCTGGGCTCCCTCCTTTCACCTCGGCACCAAGGTGTGTAACAGTCAGTCACTGACACCACCCATTTTTGTCAGCACAACGACTAAATCAGACTGTCCCATGCCGAGCCTTTTCCCTTAGGATGTACCCTGGCACAGGGAGTGACGTAGCCTTGGTGCTTGGAGAGGGATCCCTTTTCCCACAGAACGTGTTACTGCAGGTGGAGAGGAGGGGTGGCGGGTTCCATGCACTGACCGATCATCACAAGGACAGACCTCTCCAGGAATCCATCTTTTGAGGCTCCGTCTCCGATGGCAGCAGTGTGCAGAGTACAGGCACTACACATGTAGCTACATGGCGCATGAAAAGCTTTGGCAATGGGGAGCTCCCGGAACTTTCCCCGCAAGAGCCTTTCCCTGCAGTGGTGAGGCAGCAGGACACTACACTGCTCAAAACAGCAATGTAGACATGGGAGGCACCGCTTGGGTGTGTAGAGACATGTAGGGTACTCTAGTCGCCTAAACTCTCACCATTCACACCGCTATTTATACCCATGCCAGCTGGGTGCGCGGTGTCTGTACTCTACATGCTATCGTAAGCACAGACGTAGCCTTACACAGCAGAGCAAGGATTTAATTTTCATTATCAAGCTTTTTAATGTAATCACAACCAATCCATTTTCCTACCTCAGATGGAGTTTGGGGAGGGGGAAGAGACCTGAACCACAAACTATCCCCCCTCATGCTCATGTCCCACAACTTTAAATGATGGATCCAAACTCTCACTTTACTTTGATCAGAAATAAACCAACAAGGCTCAAGACAGTCCTCTGCCATGCAGAGCAGGGCCCATTCAGAGCAACTGCATCACACTGGTATGAGTGCCTCTGCCTTTTGAGGTCCCCCCAGGCTTACATGGCAACGCACAGGGGCTTGAGGGCAATACCGCCCTGGAGCGTGACTATAAATAAGCAACTAAATTTAAAAAAAGAATTCATGGCCTAAATAAAATCTTTCTAGGCATTTCCTTTGGAAAAGCTGATTAGTGCTGTGTGCTTCTAGTATGCACATCATTTATAAGATACACATGGTTTCTGGAACCCTCCCTCTGTTTGAGTTTCTCGTCAGGATGGTTTGTTTGCAGATTTAAACACACAGTGTAGCAGGAAGGGACAACCTGGCAAAGGGAGAGTGAAGGGCTCCAATAAGCTTTGGCTATTCGAAGTTGTTAGTGACAGTAAGATTAGGGCCACTTGACGGTATCACAGACCCGCAGAGAGTGCCTCAAGGAGGCTGCTGAACGCAGGTGTATACAAAGGCAATGGGTTTGCCTCATGCTGGCTACACAGGCAGATAGTGCACAGAATCCTTCGTGCCCTGGGCAGCTCAACACTATGAACAATTGTGGTTGAATCCAGGAATGGAATAACTAAGTGTGGCCTGAGCTCAACTCGTGTAGAAGGCTGAGGGGACACCACACAGCACTGTACTGTATCAGGCCTTGTGCTTACAGCCCTGCACGCGCCCAGAAGGACAGGGCCACCTCAGAACACAGCTGTCCCCCCACCCACACTATGTAAAGTGATTCTACTCGTGGAATTTTCCACCAGGCCCTCCATCAGATTGGAGACTGGACACTTCACTACAGGTTACCCACTAGCACTTGGGGAAAGGCTCACGGCTAGAGGAGCACAATATTTATGGACAGAGCTAGTCAGAAGTTTGGGAAGGGGCATAACGGGTGCAACTGCCAGATTCTTCCTCCCCTTCCCTCATCCATTCCCATTCACTAGACCCACCACACACTGCCCTTGGACAGGAGAAGGGCTGATTTGCCTTTAAATGGAGTGCCACCTTTACAGTAGGCTGAGCCCTGTTGCTTTGGCTCCATTCCTCACAGCACTGGGAAGTCTCCCATACTGGCAACCGAGTGTTAACCTCAAACTTTGTAGTTTGCTGCTGCAGGCCAGAGACAGCAGCAGGACACCAGCACCACCACCTGTTCTGCCCCCTGCAGATGAGGCTGCCAAAATGCTTAGCTACCAGGGAAGATACCAAGAGATAAACCATTTGTGCCCTATGCCTGATGCAACTGTATCGGGATGTGCTGTAGCATTACTGCTCACTTCCTGCTGTGGCCATCTCCTAGGTGGAGCACTGGAAAGTCTGGCTGAAGTTAAGTTTCCAGACACCAGGAAGAGGTGGCAGCAGCAGCGAGTCCTAGAGGCTGCTTCTGAGTTGTCATTTAACTCCCTAAGGAAAAGGTCTCAGTCCATCCTAAGTGCAATAAGTGCTCTGTGAGAGTATCCCGGCGAGAGATGGTGCAGCAAGGGTCCAGCAGGGAGAGGTGGCAGCTACAACAAACTCCATCTCTTACAGCCAGCGAGGCAGCAATTCCAGCGACCCTCACTAGGCCTGACCCCAGCTCCTAGAGCTACAATGGGTCACGGCAGGCCAGCACACAGCGGTGAGAAAAGCCACCTAACTGCCTAGCTCCCAGGAGTGCAGTATCAATGCACAGACCCATGGCCCACAGGCTGTAACAGGCACCCAAGTGCGTTAGTCACTAACATGCTGCTGTTTGAACTGGACAAATTGAAAGGAAGCTCTAAAGCAGACTGCTTACAACGCACAGATATGCTCACTAATGGCTCGGGCTTGCACTGGATTTGTAGGTCTGGGGTTCTGGTAACTAACATTACAGTCCCGCGCCTTTAGGCTCTGTCTTCGCTGCTGACTAACCACAGCGTAAGCCATCATGGGTCAGTCAACACATGATAGCCTAACCAACTAGAGCACAAACACATTGTCAATGTCAGCACGCTGTGTCACACCCCCACTGGTGCTCTATGTGGTCGTGAGAAGCAATACAGCTAGTGTGGGCATTATCCTGAGATTCATAGTGCCCCAACTCACTGCATTGCTCTATGCTCACATTCGCAGGGTGTCTACCCACGCTGGGGATTGTAGGAGGAAGTGGTCTAGGCCTGGAAAATTCACTTGTGGCATTAACCATGCTGGTATGCTATCATGTGCCAAAGGAAAGGATCCAGCTTGCCCTAATAATCGGACCATCAGCCACTGCTCTTTATGGAGGCAATGTGCACAATTGGTGCCCAGGGCTTGTGGGAAGCGATTGGAGGACTATCATCTATCAGTTGCGCTGATTGACCCTGGCTAAATGTTTTCACTGCTCTTACCCCAGTTTAGCAAAGCATGGGATAACTCCAGGTCTGCCTACTGTTCAGGGTGTGACGGTTGCCTTACCAGGCAAGTAGTATAAGGGCCCTACCATCAATCAAACCCTAACCCCGCCCCCTTAAGCCCCGCCCCTTGGTCCCTCCCACCTGTCACCGGAAGTCCCACCCCATGGGGGTATTACTTCCGGGGTCAAGGTGCCACCTGACCGGAAGCAAGGTGTGTCATGGGGTCCTTATACTACTCAGGCAGTACAGCAAGAGGTATGTGGGTGTGTGAACCCAAGGCATGTTACTGTAAAAACGCACAACTGAACTCAAGTTTTCAGTAAAGAGAAAGCCTTAGAATCGTTTCCAATTAGCGTTCCCCAAAAGGACCTAGTGGCAGATAAGGCTCAAGGCAAGACTGCTCCACAGGCCTCATTTCAGGTGGCCAGACTCAGAGACCACTTCTGTTCAGGTCTCCAGCAGTTCTAGTGAATCCCTGAACCAACATGCAGAGAAGGCAACAAAGCAATACAAACTCCCAGCACCTCACCACATAAACCTTCCACAAGAAGACTCGTCTGCCATCTGCAGAAAGAATGCCAGAGACTTTCTGCATTAACAAATCCCATAGAACACTGCAAAGAATCATCCCTTCCCCCAAATCCTACCACCACAAACACCCAAAGTCTGAAAGAAAACTGCCAGCTGACCCTCATAGTTCCTTCAGGTCCTGGCTGGGGACAAAAACTGTTCACAGGTCAGAACCCCAATCAGACTCCTACAGCGTTGCCTACAGGACTAGAATTAGCAAGTAGTAGCAGAAAAACTTCAGTAACAAAAGGAAAAACTATAGAAACCAGGACAACCAGGTTGTCAGCTACTAAAGCTGACTGAGCTCCTGGCTTCAAAATAGTGGGGGATGAAGGCTTCACAGAATGTCAGCAGGCCTGGCTCAGCCTCCCTCATTAAGTAAGAGGTTAGGGAATCTAAGCCTCTGAAGCATCAGCTGCAGCCCTGCTACTCTAGGGCTTAACATACCCAGCTTATCCCCTGTTAATGATTAGCCAAGAGCACAAGGTTAGGGGATACTTAGTGGGAGTGTCCAATCACATGGCCAGAGACTGATCTGCCGGAGTCTGATATCTGTAAACACCTCTCCCATTTGATTTGAAGAGTGTGGCTATTCCCCAAGCACTCTGAAGTGTCTGCCCCACCCCTTCCCAACTGTATTCATACCCCATAACCCCAGGCTTGTTCCCAGCCTCACTGTAGTGTTCATGTGGTATCAACAGGATAAAGATGCAGAAAAAAAGTGTGTTTTAATCCAATAATCTTGTTTCTCAATTTAAAAAAAATATATATATATTTTAAAAGGTTTAGAAAAAGCTTCTAATTAATTTGCAGCTAGTTTTACATATAGATTACAAGAAATGTACAACCCCCTCCCCACATGGTTCCAAACTGTGGGGGCCTGCCAGTTCTTCCCCCAATCAGACACATAATTGAATGTCAAGTGTATTTATTCTCAGCACGGCTTTGAAAGGCAAATCTGCCATTGGTACCACCTTCTTAGAGGGAGAGATACCCAGTATGCCAATGGAGACATGTGGTTACACTGGCTTTCAATATAGAAAGCCCTTAGATTAGTAAAAAAATATTTCATCTATAGAAAATGCCCTTCTGAAAAGCAACCAGGGCTCTGTTAAGGCCACACCCAGGCTTCCCATTTCTCTGCTGTAGCAAGACAGCCCAGAAACAAACCCCCCAAGATGTTTTGGAGTCCCAGCAACAGCAATCAGCACCCGTGTCTATTTTCCAGCAGGCTGCTGTATCAGGAAAGTGCTTAGAACAGCACAGGACTTCTCTAGAACATACTACTCATTCAACAGGGCCCAGCTGGCACAGTGACATTAAACTGTACGTCCTCCTCTTCTGCCTAGGTGAGCAAAGGGAAGCCTCCCTGGCTGCCACTCCCTCATCCCTTCAGATGGGTGCAGAACAGTGGGGTACTTTGAAACCAAACCCCAATCCATCTGACACCCTAGTCCTACCAGGCTTCTGCCAAGAGGCTCCTTCTAATTCTTCTAAAAGTCTGTGGAGTACCAAGCACAAGGCTGGTGGCTGAAGGAAGAGGCCCAGCTACTCCATCCCAGAGGGCAAGGTGGGGACAGAACAGGCCCCTTCTGATAGCCCGAGGCACTGGGCGAACTGCTGCTATGGCAGAGATAAGGCAGCCTCCAACACACCCAACCCTTTGGATTGGATATTGCTGTTGTCTGGCATAACAGCCTTTGGCCAAGCGTGGGGATTTTCACCAGAGCTCCTCTTCGAATGTGCACAGCCCGGGGGCTTCTGCAGAAGATCCAGGGCAAGTCAGGATTTTTAGGAAGAGACGCAGCACACAACAGGATTTTTTTCAAAACTCTTCCTATTGCAACCAGGTGCAGATCTGCCCCCTTCTTCCCAGGTGAGCAGTTCTGTCTGCCCCAGGCATGGTGTGCAGAGAAGCTGTGTCCAGTGCGCTCTGTTTCAGACTCTGCCAGGGGTGGGAAGCGAAGTCAGGACCCAACATTCAGAAACCTGAAGGACACTAGGAAGAAGAAAAACAAAGCAGGTGGTTAGATCTCAGCCTCAAAAGGAGCCATGGACAGAAACAGATTTGGGGGTAATCATCATTAAGCAGAGGCATCCAATTCCAGTTGGGGATGCACACACTGAGAAACCTCTGTAGGGGAAGAGGTTTCACACCAATGCAGAGTGAAGTATACAGCAAGACCCTATCCACACTCGGTGGGATTGAGAGGAGGGGAGAGCAAAGGGAACAACACAGGGTCTCAAGAGTGAGTGCTCCCCAGAGGAGCTAAAGCAAGACTGCTTAGCCTGAAGAGCTTTGCTTACGGGAGGGCCCCGATAACACTAGAACTAGGAAGAGAAGCAGCAAGAAGAGAAAGTCACTCTTCCCTTTTGGGCAGCCACCAGAGTTAACTGCAAGAGAAACAGACTGGGGCTGAGCATGGGTCTCCTGGGCCCTGTACACCAGGAAGAGCTTTTTGCCTGCACGGCCACTTTAAGAAGCTCTGTTTGAACACATCAAAAATAGCAAATGCACATTTTGGATCACACTCAAGAAACCAATCTTACCAGAAAACCTTCCCAGGCACGGTCCCTCACCATAGCCACAGCAGCAGCCTACAAGCAGCCAAAGGAGGAAGAACAGCTCCTTCCAATAACCCTTTGGAATAGTTAACCAACGACTAAGAGAGAGAAATTAGGATGGGAACCTCCACTTGTGAGCTTGTGACCTGCTTCAGAAGGCAGTGTCAAAACACCAGTGGAGCAGGTGGAGGACACACACTTGTAGCTTGGATGGCTTTACACCAGCGTGGCAGCATCTAGCAACTAGCAACGGCACTGTGGAGACAATTGTGTGTGTGGGGGGGGGGTGATGTTACTCATTTCTGTATAGGGAATGAAGCTACAAGAGTGAACAGCCCTGGGAAAAGCACAAAAGCAATTGAGGACATTTACCATGACAGCAGACTCTTCTTTGAAATACGGGGGGAGAGGGGCAGTGTGTCAAAACCCAGCCTGGCGAGGAAGAGAGACAGACAGAACCAAGAGTGGGCTGTGGTCAAGGGACGTAGCAGGTTCTGTGGGCAGTGAGGAATCTGTACAGAGTCTTACGTCACCATTTTGAATCATTCAACTAGCATGAAAAACTCCACCAGGAATCGATGGAGAAGGTTTTGGATTTCCCATTTGCCTACGGATAGGAAGTAAATGTACAGAAAATAGGCAGCTCCTTTCCCATGAACGGCTCATAACGAGATCACCAGGAATCAAGCATGCACGGAGAAAAAGTAATCGGAAATCTGGAAACAAGGAGCCAAACAAGACTTTGCGCTGTTCAAATGGGACGAAGTGCCAGCCCCCGTGTCCAGCTCAGGATCACAGGTCCTCTAAAATGCTTAGACTAAGCACAGAGAGGAGGATTGATCTTCCATGTCTGTAGCGAATAGAACAACAGGCTCTTGCTCCAAGGAGCTGACGACACAGCCAGAGGAACAGGGTTCACATTCTCAGGGAAGGACAAGTATTCCCACCACGTGTGCCAAAGGGAGCTGAAAGGGGAGTTGAATATAAGCTTGTGGAAGTTATTTTTGTTGTCAGGCTGTGATTCAGCTTGGATGCAGAGAAGGCAGTGTTTTCTGAGCTCAGAATGGAGAAAGGGAGTTAATTTGAAGCCAGGAGTTCTATGAGACCTTGGGCACGTCACTTAACCTCTGCTCAGATTTCCCCCTTTGTAAAGATGGGCTGATAATCCTGACCTGCCTCCTAGGCTTCATAGGAGGGTTTACTAAGCACTCTGAAGTGCCTGTGCCAGTTTAGGGGCCTCTCTTTGGAGATGGGGCCTTGCTGCCCTTTGAGAGCTTGTGTTTTATTTCTGGGCACTATTAGGAAGCGGTAAGTTAGACTGCTATTTGAATCCCTTTACCTCCTGAAGGGAAACGCTTCCCAACATCCAGATTCACCTAGGCTCTGTACAAACCACACAGCATGATGATAGTGGTATTTGCTGAGTGGCAGTATACTCAGTGCTTCACAAGCTGGGTCCCTAGACTGAGACGCTTACAGTCCAATCAGAGCCCCCAGAAGTCCATCGGCAGGATGGTGCCAGCTTAGAGTGGTTGTTCATATTAGTGGTGCAGGCGGGTTTCACTGACAGAGGTTGATATTCATGGGCTTCTGGGAAGGAATGTGTTTGCAGGAGGGATTTGAACAGAGAGGGTCAATACCTAGCACGCTAGAGCAAGAGTTATTTGGTAGCCAGGCATTTCCAAAGAGACGCTGACCCCACAAACCTGTGGGCTGAGGGACACCGAACCAAGACCACATCATAGTTGAACGCAAGCCAGGGAACCATGGCATTTCCATCCTAAAGGATTCATAACTTCTGCCAGGGAAGGGAGGCTACAAATACAGGGTCCTAGCCTGCTCCCACTAACTTCAGAAACTACAGGTAAGGGCCCACAAATGGCTTCAATGAATAAAAGGGAAGTTGTGTTTTTAAGACTAAGATCTTCAGCCTCCTCACTGATACACTGAGTTATAGATTTTGGTGTTTTCACCTTCATATCAAAATACAGAGAAATACACAGTATTTTCTGACCTTTACTAGTGTTCTCCATTTTCTAGAAAGCCTTCTGCTATTTCTTGCTCATCCTCCCTGCTCCCATTCCGCTCCCATTCCTAGGATCTCTACTCCCTTCAGCCATACTTCTCATGGTCCATTATCCCAACTACACTGTTGCTCCCTTCTTGGGATCTCTCCCCCTCCACCCTCCTGTGCTGATCACTAGCCTCAGGCTATGGCTGAGATTGGAAAGTTTTACCAGGCGCAGAAGATAAAAGCAAATGTAGTGTGCGTACCTCTGGATTGCTGGACATTTGGAGACTCTTCTACAGTTCTTGACCGGACTCTCTCTGCCCTGTGCTGGTTGGCTTTTGCTCCAATATCCTCCAAACCTGCCTCTCTTACCTTTTTCCTCACCTGCCCCATCCTCAGCACAAACTTTCACTTCCCTTTTATTTCCATTTAGTTGCTCCGCCTCCTAAGTAAACCCACCCCCCAAAACCTGTGGAACTAGCATGCCATTTGTTTCCATCACATTGGTCACTCTGCTTCTGGGCTCTACCACAGCTCCCACCCTGTGGGTGTCCGGTCTATTTAGACTGCGAGCTTCAGGACAGGGACTGTCTGCTCCTTTTCGTACATTGCTCAACACATTAGGACCCCATTCTTGGTTGGCCCTTAGGCAATAATAGTTTCTAAGGATTGAAAGCAAATAACCGAGAGACACAGGAGGGGGCAGTACACATGCCCTTTGCTTCCCTTCTCTAACACCTGAACGTGAAATTGCTGTTTTATTCCTGGGGGAATTCTGCAAACAATATTTTAAAATTTTGCAAAATTCTGCATATTTTATTTGTCAAAACCACACAATATAATCATGCCAGTTTCAATTATTTTGGAAATTTATTTCAAAATACCAGTCAGCAAGTATGTCTGTAATAATACAGACAAAACAAAAAAAATCAGGAACTGCTTTTTGAAAATAAATAGATTCCTTACTAGACAAATTAATATAGAACTCTGAGTAATTCATTTAAAATACAATGCAGAAACGTATTTCCCGCACCCCTCAGAAGCAATGCAAAGGCTTGGGGGAGTCAGGGGTAACAGAGGTCGGAGGAGCTGAGGGAGAGGGAAGGAGCCTGGGAGGGAATCTGGAGGGTTATTGGGTGTGGGTGGGAGATGTATGGAACAGGTGTTTTTTTGGAAGGGGGGGGGATGGTTAGGGAGTGCGGGGGCCTCCCCCATGCAGACCCTGACTGACTACTAGCCTCTCCCATTCAGTCTGGAAAATCTGCCCCTGTCCCGATGTGTTCCTGCAGCCGCGCTTTCCTCTCCCCATGTGTCCCTGTTTCTCAGTACAATAAATAAATTAAACTAATGGAGATATCCTATCTCCTAGAACTGGAAGGGACCTTGAAAGGTCATCAAGTCCAGCCCCCTGCCTTCACTAGCAGGACCAAGTACTGATTTTGCCCCAGATCCCTAAGTGGCCCCCTCAAGGATTGAACTCACAACCCTGGGTTTAACAGGCTAACGCTCAAACCACTGAGCTATCCCTCCCCCCAATGTAATATTGCTGTCAAACGGAATGCTCCTTAGTTTTTCAATGCAGACAGTATGCAGGGATCACAGATGGGCCACAGAACCCCGACCATATGCCTCAGGAGAGGGAGTTAATTCTACTGAAGTATTCGCAGCTAGCATGACATCAGTGTGTTCATGGGTCTACGTGTCACAGGCCCAGAAGACAACTATCCAAGCCTCTCCAGATCTCTGTGCAGTTTGGCATGGTTTGCTGCCCAACTGTTTCGCAGACTATTATTGTTGAATGTACAACTTACTCTAGACCCTTCAGGAAGCTCATATGATCCGAACGCTGACCTCAGAGGTTTCCCACTTGGTAACACTACTGTCTGCCAGACTATATCCAATCCATGCTCAAGTATTTTTATTTAATTGAGATTTTTCTATTTCTTGTGCAATTATGTCTCACTGAAATCCAAGTCTACAATATGCATAGCAATCCCATGATTTAACTGCCAAGGCAGTAAATCAAAGTGCTATAAACTAAGGTTTATTCCATCCCTCTAGATCAGGGTGTAATTCCTTGGCAAGAGAAGAATGCCATTTTTACCTCTGGCCCTTGCATGCAGTTATGACAATATTCTCGCCTCAATCCTCAGCCATCTGATGTCAGTGGAAAGTCTGCACAAAGATCAAAGTAGAAACTCAGTAGGAAGATATGCTCCCACTAAGGAGAGCCACTCTCTGTGCTCCCAGTGTATCTACCTTCCTGCTCCGCCCCACCCCACCCCCGAGTTCTCTCCCTTTACCCTTGTGTCTACTGTTCTTTCCTTTGCATTGCATTGCTTTCCTTTCCCTTCCCTGCAGCAATTACCAAGTCTCTCCTCTCCCCTCCCCGCACCTTCCATTCCACCAGCTGAAGGTGTTAGTAATGAAATACTAAATATTGATACCTAGTCTTAATAGACTTTACAGTTGATATGCCAGTGGGATTAAGGGAGGGGCGGGGAGCCAGTGTGTCATGCTGTCTGCAGACTCAGGCAGACAGTGTTGCACTGGTTACATTCAGGTCACATTTGGAATGGTTACTTCCAACCATGTTAGAAAAGAACTTTGTAAAATTAAAGCAAAGATTCTACAGAATCTGAATACGAACACATCAGGTGGGCTAAGGTTGACACCACTGTTCTACATACACAGAGTATCACTTTACCCATGAGATCAGAAGAATATGCTCTGACATCACAAGTACAGCATTATGGCTACTGCATGGAGGAGTGCTTCTTATCTGTAGTGCAGTCACCTTCAGTATTGAGGAACTCACCAGAATCAATCCGTTAACCAATGCCAACACTAATGTAGTTCACCACACGGCAAATTAAAAACAATTTCTAGTTAGAAATAATTCTGCCTTAAAATGTTGCATTAGAAGAACTTGTTTTATAAATGTATTTGTTTGTGCAGCTTAGCTGCCCTTCTGAAGCATGAAGATGGAGGGTTTTAGTTTGAACTAATCCTTCAGGAAAGAGTGAAACATTCTGCAGGTATCCAGCCAGGCAAAGCCCCAGACAATTCATTCCTGAAACTAGTGGTTTTGAAGCATGCTACACAAGGACATCAACTCACTTAGACTGCTGCATCTTTCAAAGAACAAGCAATTGTCAGTCTCACTGGAAACCTGGGCACCAGTTTTTTGAACTGCCACTTCATTAGTGGTGTGGGAAGTAGCTCTCTCCAAATGGTTCAGAGAACAAATTAAGGGAACTAACATGAAGCCACTCAGACTTACTGCTTAAAATTGGGTAACTGACATTTAAGAGTCCCATTAAACTCCTGCTTTTAATAACCTCCCTCCAATAGCAGGTTGGAAGATAATAAGGAGAAAAGCTTCAATAAGTGAAAAGCCATATGGAAACAAATGACAGATTGATACCACCCACAGCTGGCCAGAGGGTGGATGTCTTCCCCACAAAAGCCAGGAGGCCCTAGCACAGCTTACCCAACAAGATGATTTGAGGGAGCCTTTTTAGAGGCATGTGATTTAGAGACTTGATGGTAATTGAAAGGAAAGCCCCCCTCCTCTCCTTCCCTGAAACCAAGACAAAAATGTTTCTAGGCTTTTATTCCCACCCACAAACAGGTCCTCTCACAAAGGGGATTCTGACACCACATTATAATGCCCTCTGAAGCCAGCCATTTAACCAAACTCCATTCCCCACAGCTCTCCAGTAGGAAGAGTTTATTTTACTTTCTAATGTATTTGCCGCCTTCTCCTAAACATGGACTATCACTTACAGCTCCCAGGAAACAACCAGCAGTTGTGCAGTGCTGCCCGGTGACAATACTGGAAGGAAATCCAATGGCCAGGCAAGCTGGGACTGGGGAGGTGCATTCTAAGCAGAGGGAAAATCTGAGTGGGTCTCAGTCACAGACATAGCTCAGTTCCCAGCATTTATTTAGACACTTACCTTACCCCATGACTCCTTCCTGTGAATAGACCCCCATACTAGAACACAGCCACAATACACTTGGCTCCCAAAACCAAGTCAAGACTGCCCCCAATGTGATCGAAGAGCAATTCTGAATCAGTTCCTCCCAACATCAAAGCTATTCAAGGAGCAAGTCGAGAGATTCTGACAAGTCAGGAAAGAGGGATGTGTGCTCAGAGGTCAGATGTCAAAATAAGCTTCCTAACTCATTTCTGGGATTGAAGGGAAGCCCATCCTGCTCCTTAGAAGGAGCCTGCTTTTCAATCATAGGTGCGCAGTGCCTGAGTGAGAAAACCCTCTGCTAACTCCATCAGTGTTGGCAGCAGCTTCCATGGCTACAGCAAGTCAGTAATTACACCAGAATAGAACATTTGTGCAACCTCACATCTCTTACAAGGTATACAGGGGCCATGTTTCCAAAATAAAATTGTAAATGCAGGAAAGCTTATGCAGGGAAGTCAAAGATGCAAGCATTATAAACAGGATCATCTTATCTCCAGAATAGCTGGAACGATATAGGAAGCGCAAGGGCCTAGGAGCTGCATGCAGGTACGCTGTCACTGAATGGCATAGGGAGGCATTACTGTTTCTTTGTACTTTTTAAAAGCTATAAGGAGAGAGAATATGGCATTGCATACAAACTGTTTCCAGGAAGTTCTGACACTAGAGTGGTCTCACAGATCTACTCCATAGACAGCATTTTCCCAGTCCAAAAGTTTACTTAAACCTGCACAGAAATGCCAGAGACAGCATCCTCCAGCACTCACTGTGAAGAGCACACAGAGCAAGCCACTCCACTAACCAGACTCCAGCAGCTCAAGAGACAAGAAAGCAAAAGGACTTGAAAATTAAAAGTAGCTTCAATACAATCTACCTCTGAAGCTCATTTCTCCTCTAGGCTAGGCGGCCGCAGTAGCTTTCAGCAATCAAGATACTGCTACTTTTTAAACAGATGTACCTCACTAGTACAGAACTGCACATTTGAGAACTGCAAGGGGAACATCCCAACTCAAGCTGGTAGTGTCTGTTAGAGATCGACAGAGTATTTGACAAACTCACCTACCTTTTGTATTCCTGAAGTTAACTTGGTACCCAAGTATGGTTGGAGGCCTGCGAGGTGTTGGGGTAGCTGGGAGTAGACAGAATGGGTTCAAAGTTGAAGTCCAGTCCTTCTCCATCCATGAGGTCACTGTTGATTATGTAATCCACATCACATTCAAGGTTCTCCATGTACATGTCAACGTCCAGGTCAGTGGGCAGCCTGTCCTGGTTCACTCCAAATGGGGCAGAGCTAACAGAAGAGAGAAGTGGCTGAGTGCCCAGATGGACTGCTTGGGCCGTTGGTGCTGGGACTGGGGCCTTCAAAGTGGGCATGCTGGCTGTGTTTTGAGGAGATGCCACCACAGAAAGCATAGATGGCAAAGCACTGGCACCTACTGACTCTGACTGCTGCTCCAAAGGCTTTCCTCGTGGGTTGACTGGGCTTGTTTTATTCTGGGTGACTTGTCCACCTAGAAGCAGAAAAGTCTGGCTGTTTAGCCTGCTTCCAGTTTGAGGGAGTATCGGATCCACCTGAGTCATCATCACATCGCTGGGAGGTGGAGAGCTGGATGTCAGGAGAGCTTCCAGGGTCTGAGGGCCAGAGAAACGGTTAACAGAACTCTGCAGCGAGATATCAACAGGGTTAAACAGAGAGGTGCCAAAAGTAGAGGCCTGACCAGCTGAATTCTGGGTCCTCAAAGAGAAGCTGGAATCTCTCTGGACTGGACCACCTGAGGCAGACTGCTGGGTGGGCAGCATAGATGAACTGGGTGACATCAGGTTTAACCCATCAAGGAGTTCAAGCTCCTCAGTCACGGTGGGTGGGACATTGCTGGATGCACTGGAGTACACTAGAGAAGGAAGAAGCTTTTCATCTGGGAGGTCGTCCTGCTCAGGCATGATAGGAGAGAGCCTGGCACTAATGGTACTCGCATTGGAACTGGTTCGAGGCCGGAAACTGGTCCACACATCGGAGTCCTCATTATTCCTTGATGATGGGCTCCCAGGCCATTTGGGGAACTGGGAGCCAGGGCTGTCGGCAGTAGCTTCCGGAGCTGCTTGGAGTGAGGCCTTCTTTTTGGATGCTTTACCTCTGACTTTTGCCAGTTTGCTGCTGTTGTCCATGGAGGCAGCTCTCCTCCTTGGTGCTTTCCCACTTTTACCACCTTCAGGATTGAGCATCCACCAAGAACTCTTCCCTGTAGCTTCATTATGCACTTTAATGAACTTGCTGTGCAGGGATAAATTGTGCCTAATAGAGTTCTGAAAAAAAGAGAAAAGACAGCATGTTAGCCCCATTTGTATAGATTACATAAACAGAGAGGATTGGCATGTGCGGTATATATATTCCTGCTAGATTCCACTTTGTAGAGAGACTTGAGTTTCTAAACTTAACGACTGACACTTCAGACCCAACAGAAGAAGTTCCCATGGTTTGAGTGGGTCCTACATAAACACAAACTTTTCTTCTTCAAGTTTCTCAGTGGTGGATTTGTTTAATGTTTACTTTGAACTAGTTAAGGAAGCCAAATTTTTTCTGCTCTAAGAGGCTGCACTGCTTCCACGACAGGGATCCCAGGGCTGCCCCTAACTGGTATAAGCTGGACCAGGCTGCAGCGGCCCTCAGCTTTAACCCATATAGCCAAGACAGTTTGAACGGAGTTAACTGGGTGCTCCTGTTGCCCCCCGCCTTACATCCTCTCCCACCCCAGCCAAGCCACAGCTCCTTTTCTTTCTCCCAACTGCTTATCAGCCTCTCCCCAACCCCTACCAACTGCTGCCAAAGCAGAATCCCTCAGAGCAGGCAAGATTCCAATAACCCCATCGTGGCCTCATCAGCACCTAGCTATGCTGGATTCTGTGTCAGTTTTGCCTTGCTCATCAGATCTCTTGCACACCTGCCCAAAATGAAGCAGGAGTGGGACTAGCAACACAGAGGCAGTGCAGTGGGAAGAAGCTGCAGGACTGGGCCTGCCCCCCGAGTCCCATCCTAGGCATTCCCACAGCCAAAATCACCTCCCTGAACTAGTCAGTCCAGAAGGCATACAAATTCCTCACAACTAGTCAGCATGCTAGGGGTTACCATGGAGTTGTGATCCTCAGAGACTACCTGTACCAGTAAATAATATTCCATCATTGCTCATGTGGTGACATAGGTTTAGCAACATGCACAACTTAACGGCCCCCTAGTCTGAAGTTTTGTTTTAAATAAACTGGTCAGTGATCCCCAAAACCCACACAACCAATTCAGCATGGTATCCTGTCTCCTCCAGAGGCTGACATCTTTGTTCTTCCAAAAAAAGACTACACATGAACGTTATTGATTTAAAATAGGATTTTCTGCAGCCACCACCAGCAAGGATCACAAGAGCCTCATCTTCCCTTCCAACAGTTAAGCTGTGAACTCCTGTATTACCCCAGTCTCATCAGGAACTAGTCAGCAGCTGGTGTACACAGCCCACCATGGAAGGAATGACTGCTATTGCATAAACAGAAGGGTTTTGGCTCAGTGTACTTCTACGGGACTTTAAATCACGTGGCCTAGAACAACATGTACAGAAAGAGAAGGAAGATTGTGTCTCTGGGTATAGGCCAGCTGAGCTGTAAGACCTAGTTTATAGCTGGAACCACAATCTGCTAATTGCTACGTCAACAAAAATCCTCTGGATGACAGCAAATCCTTCAGTTACACTGAAACCTACAGGAAGAGGCCACCATTCTTGCCTTAAGTGGAAATTTTAGTTTACAGGTTTCCAGCTTTCTGGCGGTATGGATGTTACAAATAAGACACCCTGAAACAAAGCCAATCCTCATGTCAACACAGTTGTCAGCAGCCCATAAACAGTTTTCCCATGTGTACACCTCAGACACTCTTCATGCACATCAGGAGTTCTGTGATGAAGCCACACACATTGCGATTCTGGGTACAGTAACCCTAGCAGAAAGGCTAGGTCAATACTGAAAATGAACTTGAGTGTCCAGATCTTCTAAAGCAGAATTAAAGAGCTGACTTGCCTCCAACTCTGGTGATTTCACAGACAATGCAAGGGGCTCTGTAGTTAATGACCTTATGAAAGCAGGCAGGTGACCTACCCAAAATATGAACTGGAGAAAGTTCAGAAGTACAAACGTTAGGTGACACTTACAGGATTCTGGGGGTGAAGGGGAGGTTTTGTTTGAAGAAAGTTGCCCCCATATTTGTCATGGGCAGGATATTATCCCACTGTGACTAAACCTGAAGAGTAAGGGACAAGTTGTAAAATCAAGGAGGCATTTCCCAATAGGTTTATCATACTCAGTCAAGCAAGGTGGCCTCACCCAGCAACTGTTCCTGCCAGTGGTCCTTGGCCTGACTTTGATTAGAGGCAACAGTCCAAATGACAAAAGCTGACTGGTATTAGCTAGATTTACTCTCCTCTTCCCTAGTTATCTGGGCTCTCTTTCTTCCTTTCCAACTGCCTTACTACTCTGAAAGCACTTGTTACCACTGCCAGCATAGAATCATAGAATATTAAGGTTGGAAGGGACCTCAGGAGGTCATCTAGTCCAACCCCCTGCTCAAAGCAGAACCAATCCCCAACTAAATCATCCCAGCCAGGGCTTTGTCAAGCCGGACCTTAAAAACCTCTAAGGAAGGAGATTCCACCACCTCCCTAGGTAACCCATTCCAGTGCTTCACCACCCTCCTAGTGAAAAAGTTTTTCCTAATATCCAACCTAAACCTCCCCCACTGCAACTTGAGACCATTACTCCTTGTTCTGTCATCTGGTACCACTGAGAACAGTCTAGATCCATCCTATTTGGAACCCCCTTTCAGGTAGTTATCTAACAGCATTTCCCACGCATGGCCTTAGGGTCCCTTCCATGCCCTCTCCCCCCAGAACGAACACAACAGGTTGAGCCACAAAGCTGCAGTCAACTATTAATGATATTCCATTCAATGCATGCAGTGGGTCCCATGTCTTTTCTGTTCGCCTACAGAATGGGGGATTGGGAGATGAGGATCTTAAAATGCTCTATAGAATGAAGGATCTGGAAGACAACTGATTTAAGCCAAGTCATGTGGCTATTTATATGGATAACTCCAGTCATTTGGGGTTGGATGGGATAGGCGGGAACAGCTGGTATAACCAGCACCAACTTCCCAGCAGCCACCTTCTTGGGGAGCTCTCTCAGCTATGTAGCAGTGTCTTTGCAGCATTCTTCCAAAGAAGTAAATTTCTTTCCAAAAGCAAAGCACCTGGGGACAGAGAAAAGTGACACCAAAACCTTCTGAGACAATTAGACTGGTGATGCATAGAGCAGGTAGTGCTCCATCTGGAAGAACACCCACCCCTGAAAAAAGTACAGTGCCTTCTAGGACGAAGAATCTTAGGGCTAGTCTACACTGGCAAAGCTAAAGCGTAATGTGGCTTGTGTGGTCGCAGTGGAGCGCTGGGAGAGCTCTCTCCCAGTGCTCTAAAAAAAACCCACCTTCATGAGGGGCGTTGGTGAACTGTCTACATTGGCGCTTTACAGCGCTGAAACTTGCTGCGCTCTGGGGGGGGAAGGGGTTCACACCCCTGAGTGAGAAAGTTGCAGCGCTGTAAATTGCCAGTGTAGACAAGCCCTTAGAGGGTCTGGGGGAGGCCTGTGTGTTCAGTTAAGCACACCTTGTTTTCCCTGTTGAGTTCACTATGAACAGCAAGAGGCAGAGATGAATACCTGGCTGTGTTGAGAAGGTGCTCTCTATATAGGACCATTACTAAGGCTATTAACAAGTATTAATAAGATCATGATTGAGCAACAGGACCCGACACAACCTGGCACCCCTCATCCCAACCTTTCTGTTCTCATCTAGTTCCATTTCCAAAAAATCTAGTAATCTTAATTTGCTCCCTTAAAAAGTGCTGAGGTGACAAATTTTGCCAAAAGTGTTGCCACTCTCTAGGAGTGTATGGGCTTAGCTACACTGGTGCTTTACAGCACTGCAACTTTCTCGCTCAGGGGTGTGAAAAAACACCCCCCTGAGTGCAGCAAGTTACAGCGCTGTAAAGTGCCAGTGTAAACAGTGCTCCCAGCGCTGTAAGCTAATCCCCTCGTGGAGGTGGAGTACCTGGAGTACCAGCGCTGGCGCGCGACCACGGGAGCGCTTTGAAGTTTCGAGTGTAGCCACGGCCTATACTGTCCTTGGGATGCCAGAGTATGTCACTTGGCTTTTGTTGGTTCCTATCTCCAATCCTACCTTCGAGTTGCTCATCTAGGTTTTAAATCTTGCTGGAGCAGGGAGCCCCAATCTGCTTACAGCACCTAGCACACTGCTAGCACAATATGAATACATTTGGAAACAAAAAAACAGGAGCAAGATTCCAGTGGCTTAGTCCACGATACGTGTCAAAATCCACCAGCCACGCTAATTCTTAAACTAGAGCTAACTTTCACCATGGCTAACTTCCTTCTAGAACCTTTTAAATACCCATGTTTCATAGGAAGTGACACTCAAAGCATTCTTCACCTGCAGTCACCCAAAAACTTAGTCACCATCATTAGGAACACAACCCCATGCTCTGAGTGCCCCAAAACCTCTGACTGCCAGAAGCAGGGATTGGAGGACAGGGGATGGATCACTCAATAAATTGCCCTGTTCTGTTCATTCCCTCTGAAGCATTTGGCACCAGCCACTATCAGAAAAGAGAATACTAGATTAGATGGGCCACTGGTCTGACTCAGTACGGCCATTCTTATGTTCTTTAACCTGCTAAAGACTAATGGGCTTCAAAGTCAGTTGAGTGGCAGAGAAAGAGGATGTTTGCCAGTTCCCACCACCAGCAAGCGTCTCTATGACTCTTACTTAAATTACACTTCCAGTGAATAAAGGAAAAGATTATATTAAGTTTCAAACCCTTCACTTAGAATGTGCAATGCTCCACTTATAGCAGCAAAGTTTAACGGGGACAGTATTTGTGTAGCTGCACACCACACCTCAGTGCTGCTGGGCAAGTCAACTTTCTAGTAATCTCACTTTTGCAGTACACTCAAGACAATAGTAAGTAGCGGTTTTTCCTTTTCCAGAGTCAGTGATTCCCTGACCCCTGGATAAAATTATACACTGGTCTGAACCACCCTGAAACACATGCAGACGCACGCTACAAGTCAGACAGAATTAAGGCTTTGCTCAGCACTAAGATATAGAATTTAAGTTTTCCATTTCCGTTTGCTAGATGGTGTCTAGGTTTAATGTCAGCTATGCCTCAGTGGGTGGAGACTGGAGAATTTCCCTATTC